ATTTATTTGAATAAAAAATAATATCAAATCAAATTTTATTAATTAATCATCATTAAACTATAATTATTTATACTAATCAAAATTAAAATTCTAAATTAATTTATAATTAAATCACCATTTTCTCATCAAATTTTCTTTCTATTTTCTTTCTTTAACGGACATTATAGTTTCTCAGTAATCAATCTCGACAACCAAACAAATTCAAAGCATTTTCTCAACTTCCAAACACCCAAATTTAAAGCATTTTCTCAGCATCCAAACACCCAAACTATACCATTTTCCAACCAAACAAATGAAAACCACTACGAATTGCTTATTTACCCAACTGCTTATGTTCTTTCCATTTCCATTTTGAACATATAACAAACATATAATGTCTTGGATAATCTCTTCGCAAACCAACATATAACAAAAAAACAAAAATAGAAAGGAACCCAGCTCGAACCCAATCATCGAACTCGAGCTGGGTTCACCGAACCCAGCAAATTGGGTTCCACTGAACCTAGCAGACATAAAGGAAGAAGAGGAAGAAAGAAGAGGAAGAAAGAAGAGGAAGAAAGAAGAGGAAGAAAGAAAAAGAAAAAAAAGAAAGGAAGAAAATGATTGAAAGGGGGAAGAAAATGGATAAAAAAAGGGAGATGGGTAAATTTGTAATTTTTTATTTTTTTATTAAGGCAAAATTGGTTGATGAGTTGGTGGTGAGTTGGCACTAACGTGGCTTAAAAAAAAATTCCAGATCAACGTTTTGTAAAATTATTTTTGCCACGTCATAAAAAAAATTATAAAAAATGCCACATGAGTGAGTTAACAACCCGAATTAACAGAAGGACTAACGGAGTGCATTTCGTATAGTTAAAGGATCAAAAAAGTGCAAAAAATTGTTGAGGGACCAAAAATGTGCAACTCACTAAAGTTGAGGGACCAAATTTAGCATTTAACCTTATGTTTAATTTTGAGTGGTATGATATCAATAAAGGCATTGTGGTTCATCTGATAGCTCATATAGTTGACATAAATCCTCGGTTTAAACTACAGATAGATGACCCATTCATATTGGCAAGTCAAGCCCAACAAGTGTTTTACATTTGTTATCCATCTCAAAATCCTCGTAAAAGAGGGTGGTTTGTTGCATGTGACATTGGGGCAAGAGCAATAATTAACACTTCATCGCTGCGTGATGATGTAAATGATTATTATCAGGATGATGATCCTTCTATGCCACAGTTGGTGCAACCCTCGACTATTTTAGATGATCATGTTTCGTTAGCATCTCGAGGGGGAGAACTAGTGGTGATTAATGAGGACATGCAATCACCATATGTAGCAGAGGAAGAATCTATGGATGAGGATGATGAAGAAGAGGAAAAGTTAGATGGAATGAAAACATCAAAAGAAGAAGTTCCAAATTACTTAACCGAGAGTGATAGTGACTAGATGTATTATATTTAATCTTTTTTTAATCAACTAAACAATAAATGGATGACTACTTATATTTTCTTTGCGATAACTTAATAAATTAAAGACATTTATAATTATATTTTTATTTTTATAAATATATATAATTGTTTTGGGAGCAAAAGAGGCGAATTGGGAAAGTTGATTTAAGGGAAGAAACTAAAAAATGGTTTTATATATTAATGCTGGGTTTGTCAGATTTGGATAAAAAAAGAAAGAAAGATTTTATATTTAAATGGTTTTATATATTAGTGTTGGATTCAGATAAAAAAGAGAAAGGGGTAGGTGGGTCTACTAAAGCATTTTTTACAAAAGTAAAGCACATTGCCACTTTCTAAAAAATAAAACACATTGCCATATATAATGCAATAGTCACAAGCTAACAAATTTAAATAACTTATTTTGCAAAAAATATAAGATTTTGAATTTAAATAAAATACTACTAGTAGTAATTTGTTATTCCTTTTCTTCAAGAACAAAAATGTTGTTGTATTACAAAACTACTATAGACAAGCGGGGTTGTTTTTACTTTTTACATATTAGAATGGAGATGATTATTGGTGTAGTTAGCTTGAACGTTACTATTGTGTTTTGCTTCATGTTATGATTGCAAATGCTAATTTTGGTTAAAAAAAATTAATTATTATTCAACCCAAGCAAACCCACTTCAAAATCAAATCTTTATTGAAATTAATTTAACCTTATTAAAATTAAGAAACAAATTACAACAAAAAGGAAATTTATGATAATTAAGAATGACAAATTTAGTTTCTAATGTACAAATCCAAAATGGCACCTGAAGGAAGAAGACAACTACTAACCAACAATCATCAAAAGTTTGCAATCAAAGTAGTCTTCTTTAATGCTTTATTTTATGCCAGGCCGAGCTTTGGATTCAACCATTAACCACCTACTTCGACTAACACTAGAAAATTATCAACATTTCAATTCTAACCATGTCTATAATACAGAGTAGGAAGGAATCAATTATTATTACTTCAAAATTGTTGTCTAGGGCATTCTGTGTTCAATCCATTTAGAGTAGCTCTTTAAGGCATCTTGATTCTAGAACAACTTTGTCCTCTTTAATTTCTTCATCAAGCAACTAACTCATTCTATTGTGTAATAAGCATAAAATAAAAGATTTGGGTTTATTTTGAAAAAATGTTTCAAGTTTTTTTAACCTTCATCATCCATGGAATTGTGAGTCCATATGCAAATATAAAGAAAGCCAACCAGTAGGTATAAAACAAAAGATTGAATCAAAGATTATTTTGGCCTAGCAATAGTAAGAAGAGGTATTATTAATTAGAGAAGAAAATTAAAAATCTCTACTTATTATAGCTTTAAATATTTTTATTTTGTTGTTTTTTGATTGTTTAAAGTTTGTGTCATTTCTATGAAAGGAAACTTATGTATGTCTATTACTTTGTGTATATAGACATGGGACGAGGTACTCAAGGTGCATCATCCTCTAGATAGTCTATTGATCCATCAACGGAACCACAAAGACAATTGCATCATCTTATTTGGGGGCTTCGTAAGGCTATTTCCACATAACAATAGTTGCCCAATTTGAGCTAACCTCCCTCCCAGCAGTAGCTATCTAGTTTGACTTAGCTTCCCATATAGTAGTAGCAGTAACCCATTGTTACCTAGTCACCATTGGATGACTAGAACCTTAGTGACAATGTAGCAATGGAGGAGGAGGCTGAAGAGCGTAATTTGGAGGTAGAATTGGATGCTGAGTTTGGTGTGCTTGATCCTGAGTTGGATGCTCAACTTGAGGAGGAGTTGCCTCATGTTGTGCCAAAGACAAGTCGTGGCATGGGTAAGGGGGATGATGCTCCAGTAGACTCGAGTCACAGAAAGTTGCTTTCAATAAATCAACGAGGCACATTAGTCATGAGAGGTTTGGGAGGACTGCAACAGTAATATGGAAGTCTTTATATGATGAGCCAATGCTCTTTTGGTCTAGTTGGCCTTAGGAAAAGAAAAGGATTGCTTGGGAGAATTTCCAAGTATGAAAGTTATAAAATAAAATAGAAAATTATAGAAATTACTGATTAAGGTTTTTTATTATTTTGACTTTCTACTTCTTTTCTCCTCCATTCCTTGTACTTACCACTATCTTGATATCTTTGTTAATTATACAAGAAGAGAGTTGGCATAAGTCGAGTTGACATTCATGTCTGTATGAGTTAGCTTTCTACACAAGTCCAGACATCATTTTTCTTTTCATGGTTATCTTTTTGGTGGCATAATGATTATTCTTCCAATCAAAAAAAAAAAAAAAAAAAAAAAAAAAAAAAAAAAAAACTTCTTTTTCTTCTTTAAATTGTCATGGGGAAAAAAAAAAGTAATCAATTGTTACTTTAGCATGGGGACAGTACATGCCTTTTGTTAGTATATCTTGCAGTGAAAACTAATAATAATTCATTTTTATATGGATGAGTTTAATTTATTAGAGATTTTGATTATTGTGAGTTTAATGGTTGGAATTTGGTTTGGGTGAACATGGTGTGGAATAGGAATGTGAGTATCTCCTCTGTTTTTTTTTTTTTTTTTTGCTCAACTTGATGGTAACCATGAGTTAGTTATTTTGTTTTAAGACCTCTACTTTAGCCCTTGCCATTGGGTCATTCCTTGTCTCTATTTCATCTTCCTTCTCTTCTTCTTGTTCCTCAGCCATTTTCTTTCTAGGAATGTAAAAGAAGCGCAATCAGTGCAATTGACAAAAGATTGATTTCTAGGCTTGTAAATGAAATGGTTCACGACTTAATGATTTCAGTTTATCAAACACTAGTTACAACCCAAATTTAAGAACATTAGAAAACCAAAGCTTTAGCTATGTTTAAGCTTTAGTTGGATTGGTTTGAATTATTATAGATTTTCTTTGTTGCGAGTTTAATGGTTGGAATTTGATGTGGGTGATCATGGTGTGGAAGTGTTGCATAAGGTAATATTTATTTTTTTTCTTTTGTTAACAAGGAGAAGTTGATATTTTAGGGGAAACTCTGTCAGTTTTCCATAAAACAAAATATAATCATAATTAATTTTGATATGGATTGGTTTGAATTATTATAGATTTTATTTATTGTGAGTTTAATTGTTGGAATTTGGTGTGGAAGATCATGGTGTGGAAGTGTTGCATAAGGTCATATATATATATATATTTTTTCTTTTGTTAATAAGGGAAAGTTGATATTTTAGGAGAAACTCTACCAGTTTTTCCATAAGACAAAATATAATCATAATTAATTTTGATATGGATTGGTTTGAATTATTATAGATTTTATTTATAGCGAGTTTAATGGCTGGAATTTGGTGTGGGTGATTATGGTATGGAAGTGTTGAATATTTTTATATATATTTTTTTCTTTTTCTAACCAAGGAAGTTGATATTTTGGGGGGAACTCTACCATTTTTTTTAAGGAAAATGTGTTTTTGATTAATTTAATTAATTTTAATATTTGCATGCAGAGAACATATTATTGGGAAGAGGACAATGCTCGCATTTGTAGGATTTGGAGATTATATTGTTGGAATCATTTCCGGGATGAGCTTCATCGAGTTAGAAAGGCATGGGAGACATCCAAGAAATTACTCAAGTTCATGCATAAGGACACTTTCAAGATTTTACTAGCAAAATGGAAGAGTCCAAAATATATTGTGCTACAATATATCGTGCACGTGTGACCACACAATTGGATGCATAGGAGTTGGGATCCATGAGGATCGACTAGTTAGTAGAATATAGTTATATATATTGTTGAAAGTTACCATTAATTTTTGGCATATGATGTTAATTAAGTACCACTTCTTAACATATAATTAAAGGAGATCAAAAGGAAAGCATGATGGCCATTTCTAACCCTTTAAAAAGAAATATTTTAAACCACCTATTAATGCTAAATTGTTTAAAAAAAATAAACCAAATGATACTTAACAGGAAAAAATATTTGCATGATGGCTGTGAAAGATACTTGAAAATTAAAATTCAATATTAAACAACAACACTTTTTCTTTCTCAATAATGCAACTAAATTAAAAAAACACAAAGCAAATGGTTATATTTATTTCTTAATATTTTATTTACATTCCTTACCTTTTCTTTACTAATCTTCATCCAAATATATTCTAAAATTTGATTTTATTGATGTTTTAATAGGCAACAAAGAGGGGAGGAGTTAGGCCTACAGCTTTGGAGTCATACATGTTGACTCACACAACTCATAGACCTGATACTCAACAAGGTGGCCCACCTGCTTGGATATGTCTACAGATTGAGCAGACTTATGTAAGTGTCAAATTTTTTTATGATATTAATTATTATTATTATTAATTTTAATGGAATTTTAATTACAATAACTAATGAAAATTTCTTTTTGGATCAGAATGATGCTCGTGAAAAGTATGTGGAAAAGTATGGGCCAAACAAGGACTTATGACCAGCATGGGATCTGTTGTACCTATGATTTTGATGATTACAAAACACATTTGAGTGACTAATTGGTTTATTTAAGTGTGTAGTTAAGTTGCTAAAAGATTGCAAGTAAATTTGGATTGCACTAAAAATAGACCAAAAGAATTGAAAATGTGTAGCGAGCCGACTCTTAAAAGCTGCAGCCAGCTCTGGTGAAATGGAAGTGCAAAGAGCTAGCTTTAGAAGCTGCAGCCGGCTCTACGCGTAAAGATTTAAAGGTTCGTTGCTTGGCCGCCGAAGAAAAGACACAGAGCTAGCTTTAACTTTACAGCCGGTTGTAAGGGAGCATTTAATGCACAACGGTCGACTTATTTGAAAAATAGTTCATATTTTTAAAGTCAAAATATCAAAGTCGGCTTTACGTTTTTGCAGCCGGCTGTCCAAGAAAACAGAATGTTCAACAAACTCGCAAAGTCATTTTTGCGTTTTGCAGCCGACTCTACGGAGAAAACAAAATGTGCAAAATCCCACAAAGTCGGCTGCAGAAATGGTGAGCCGGCTGTAGGAAGATAAGCTAGCTCTCTTGACAATCCTACAACTCGAGCTTTGTGTCCTACAGAGCATTTAATGGCCCCCAACGGCTAGAAACAGCTATTTTCGAGCAAGGGGCTATAAATATGGTTGGTAACAAATTTGAAGAAGTTTAGAGAGCATTGTATTGAATATCTTTACCTACCAACTTATGTTTTAACTTGAGATTTTGATCTTTGAGAGATCTTTATTTGTAATCCTCTTCTTATTCTATTTGTGAGTAATCTTAGGAGTGTGATTATTCCTTTAAGAATGATTTGTAGAGAGGATTGTTTGGGTTTGTCTTGTAAAGGGGTAAGATTTGAGAGAAACACCCTTCTTCTTGTAAAAGGATTGAGTGGCTCCTTTAACCCACCCTTGATTTTGTTAGTGGAGAGTATGGAGGAAATCCTTGGTGAGTGAAGCCAAGGTAGAGGACTAGGTTCCAAGTGGTTGGACCAAACCTCTATAAAATCCAAGTTCTTCTTCTCTACTCTCTTTAATTTTGGTGTTGTGGTTGCAAAAGGGGAGAATTTTTGGAACTCCAATTCATACCCCCTTGGAGTACATTGAGTCAACAGGATCCATAAATCTGGAAAGAGGTAGTTGGATCCCCTAAAAGGGGTTAGATGTGAGGGATGTCCACACTATAGGATCTAGCAGAGCATGGCATACCATGGCAACGATATGAGATTAGTGAGGTCTCATCTTCTACCACTAGGATGCTTATGACGCAAGTCCAGCAGTTGCAATTTGAGCTTATGCAAGTTCAGGAAGAAATGGCAGAGCGAGTTTAGGCAGAGGTGACTGCATGTATTTAGATAGAGCTCTCACAGAGAGTATAAAAAATGGAGGCTACTTTTGAGAGGAGATTCCAAGAGCATATGCGTTTACCTAGCCAACAGTACTCATATATAAGTTTTGCACCACTTGGTGGTCCTTCTTTTGGAGGGTTGGAACCTAGCTACATGTCACCTCTTCCTTAGAGATATTTGATATTTTGGACTTATGATATATCTGTTTATATATGCCTAATACACTAGATATTTTGTGTAAATATGTAGTAATTTGAACTACTTTTAGTTGTGTATTATTAGAATATATAATAGGAAATATATAATATTGCATAAAAATAGTAATAAAATTTTAAATTAAAAAAAATAGCATATAAGTAAAAAATAACATAACACTTTATTGAGAAATAATACAATAGTTTTAACAAAAACAACATTGCATACCAATTTTAGAGGAATTGTTATGGGCACAAATTATTATAAAATTGACAATAAGGCTATCAATTACATTTATAACCAATAGAAAATAAGGTTGTCGATTATGATTAAGCTTGCCACCAAAAAAATTGAAAATCCTTAGCAGTTTAGAATTCAAAATATAACCAATAGAATTTCTGTCTCATATATTGGTTATATAACCCTCTTCTCCCTCCGAACATCCAATTGTCTTGCATTTCTAGTTCTTCTTTTTACAGTTTCTTCTACCTATCTCCACCTCTTTCGTTTCCCATATGTAAGGCATTTTTTTTTTTTCAACCTTTTCTCCCTTTCCTTTGTTTTCTTTCATCTTTTATTTTCTCAACTAAGAATTTCTATTATTTGATATATTAATAGCTAGGTTTTTTTTTTAATTTTTAATTTTTGTAGGCTGTATTTCTTATTTTAAATTTGATTTATACTTTTCATTTTCTTTTATTTCAACAACATCATAATGTATTTCAATTTAGATTCCTTTTCTTTTCTTTTCTTTCTTTCATTTTTTTTTTTTTTGCAAAATTGTTATCTCAAAATAAGGTAAGTTCTCATTTTAAATTTTTTTATGTTCATTTATTATTTTTTGTAATGTTAGTTTTTATATTACTTATCACTTTATTTCATATATACTTATATTGTTATAGGGACTTGGAATTTTTGTTGAATTCCATTTGATGATTGCTTGTAATATAATTAATTGAAAAAAAAAACAAATAAAAATCAGGATGCTGTTGGATTCTATACTTTTTTTTTGTTGAGCTATAGTGCATATAATTGATAGCCATGAGTTGTCGA